TGTTTATTTTTAACTCTTCCCTGCCCCAAACTTCTCACTTAAAAAAAAAAAAAAATAGGAAACAAAATTTAAACTTTTCCTCTAATATTTTAGTATTAAATTATTTAAACTCCACATACCATGCTCTAAAACTAAAAGTATCTTCCTTATGCTTTAAACATAATACATTTGTTGACTGATACTATGCCAATAGTGTTTTCATTTCAAGGGATATTTCAAAAAATGTCATCCAGATTATAAATTTTTATTTACTTATGTACAGTCATATAAAACATATAGTAAAATAATTTAATACAGCCCAGATTCATAGTTAACATTCATTTCCACGAGAAATTCAATTTGCTGTTTTAGCCTGCCTTTTCTATAGCAGCAGTGTTTTAAAAGTTCTCAAGTCCATATAAATGGTAATTTCAATCACCAAGATTAGAATGACTCCCACCCAAAAAAGTTATCATGCAAAAATCTGTAGAATAATATGGTTATTAAAGAGTGGATTCTCACAAAGGAAAAAAAATTTGTAATTTTGTGGTGATAGATGTTAACTAAACTTACTGTGCTAATCATTTCCTAATACATCATTATCTCCATCCCCCTCCCCTTCCCTCTCTAACTCGTCCTCCTATGTCAAATCATGTTGTACACCTAAAACTAACACAAGTTATTTGTCGATAACATCTAAATTTTAAAAAGTGGATTCTTAACATTATAGATACTACTGTACCACTCAAAACAGTACCATGCATATCATGCTAAGTGAAATAAGTCAGAGAAAGACAAGTATCATGATTTCACTTATATGTAGAATCTGAAGAACAAAATAAACAAACAAACGAAAGGAAAACAGACTCATAGAAATGGAGAATTGATGATTGCCAGATGGAAGAGAGATTGAGGGGCTGGGTGAAAAAGGAAAAGAGATGAAGAAGTACAAATTGGTAGTTACAAAATAGGCATGTGATGTGAAGTACAGCATAAGGAATATACTCAATAACATTGTAATAACTATGTATAGTGTCAGGTGGGTACTACACTGATGGGGAAGAAATCACTTCATAAATTATATAAATGTCTAACTATGCTGTACACCTGAAACTAATACAAAATAATATTTTTAGCTTTAATTGAAAAATAAAAGTTAAAAAAAGTATATGCATATAGTAAATGCTCAGTAAATATCTATTACATGAATGAATTCACTAAGTGGACTCTTAACTCTTTTGCAGGCTTATTCTCCCTATTAGGCATTTCTTGTTAGTTTTTTTCATGCTTGGGATAATTTATGCATCAATCTCCCACAGCATTATTTGTTAAATGAATGACTTTGGACAAAAACAATTGATTAGGAAGTTAAATATTGCCATTTTAAAATATAATGAAAAGGAAAAGACTGATAACTTGGACTAAAGAATTTCTGGTCATCAAAAAAAAAAATTAAGATAATGAAAAAGCAAGCCACAGAATGAGAGATAACTGCAGCGCATATAACAACAATGGCTGATACCCAGATTAAATAAAACATATTGAAACTCAAAGTGATCAGGATAGGGTTGGGATTTTAACTTTTATTTATATGGTATTTGAGAAAGTACAGTCACATAAACTCTTCTGAATCATATTCAATAAAAAGGTGCAATGGATATATACCTTATTTCTAGGGCATTTCTCCAAAAATCAGTAGCAAAGTCAATCCCAAACTGATAAAGAATTTTGCCATGATATCATAAAACTGCTTTCAAGGACTGCAGAAATCACACAGGAAATCAAAGCCTGAGAGGTTAAGTGACTTCCCCAAATGTCACACAGCTAGTTGGCAGTAAAGCTGGAGAAAAGCTTGCAGACCCTGAGACTCCTTTGACTGAGCTGGCCTTTCCACCAGACCTCACTTCCTCTTCACCAGTGGCAGCAGTTACTCTTCTAAGAAATAAACTACAATAAATACTGACCAAATATATTTGGAAAAGTTTGCATGTTAAGTTTTAAAGAAAAATCATGTAAGGTATCTAGGGCAGGTTTTAAAATCTGAGATCCTTTATGTATGGTTAAGGGATCCCTGTGAATGGGCTTCAGAGGGGTTTGCCAACTCCATGATACTATGTGCCAAGTTCTGTGTAAGAATTATGGGAAAAAGATCCACAGTCTTAAGATGAGCAAAAAGGTTCAGATATTCAAAAAGAGTAAATTTTGTTTAGAATAGTGATTCTTAAACACCGCATTACGACTACCAAAGTGTTTCTTCTGAAACACTACTGACTACTATTTGGAAAATGATTAAAAATATTATTTCTATAATTTAACAGGAATGTATTAGCAGCAAGATTCATATAAAAATGTGTTACTTATTGCACTATCCATAAACAAAACCTATTTAAAGTCTGAAATGCAAGTTTGATTTTCTCATGTTAAGTTGACTGAAAGTCCACTTACATACAGTTCACACTTGCAGCTAATGTAGTTCAAATATTTAATCATATTTGCTTAATTTTTTAAAATATAGATTTGTTTTTGAAAAATACATTCAAAATACTTAAGTTGGAATAAATGAT